GGAATTCTGGGACTTGAAGTCCACAAGTCATAAAAGGGCCAAGTTTGAAGACCCCTGGTAGAGCCCATACATTAAAATGGCCAGAATTGAGAAACACTGAAGTATTTAAAGGACACCAGACTGGAGAAGGCTGCTCGTCTATTTTAAAGCAGTGTTTCTGAAGCTCAGCCATTTTAAAGTGTGTGGACTTCGACTCTCAGAGTTCCTCAGCCAAGCCACACTGGCGGGGAATTCTGGGGTTTTTTTTAGTCTACACACCTTAAAGTGGCTGAGCTTGAGAAACCATGTTTTAAAATGTTACATTTCCTTCTCTCTGTGCTTACTTCCAGATTCAGAACTACAGATTGCACTAATTGCCCTCTTCTCTGAGATGCTGTATCGCTTCCCTAACTTGGTGGTGGCTCAAGTCACCCGAGAGAGCACACAGCAGGCCATTGCCAATGGCATCACGGCCGATCAGGTGAGGATAGGTTTAAAGGGGACGTCGGAGTTCTGCTCTGCTTTTCTCGGCTGGTTGGGTGGCGGCTAAAACTTCAATGACGGAGTCCCAAATAGAACATGCCTATGTTTATGATCCTCTTTTGCTACAGATCATTCATTTCCTACGGACAAGAGCTCATGCTGTGATGCTAAAACAGGTGAGGAAATGACCACAGGAGATGAAGGACCCAATGGATTACGACGTCAAAGAAAAAATGTTGCTCTTTGTAATAGTTTACAACATAATAGTAGTAATAGTAGTAGTAGTAGTAGTAGTAGTAGTAGTAGTAGTAGTAATAATAATAATAATAATAATAATAATAATAATAATAATAATAATAATAATAATAATAATAATAATAATAAAGTTGGAAGGGACCTTGGAGGTCATCTAGTCCAACCCCCTGCTCAGGCAGGAAACCCTATACCATTTCGGACAAATGGCTGTCCAGTCGCTTCTTAAAAAGTTCCAGTGTTGGAGCATTCACCGCTTCTGGAGGCAGGTTGTTCCACTGGTTAATTGTTCTGACTGTCAGGAAGTTTCTCCTTAGTTCTAGGTTGCTTCTCTCCTTGATTAGTTTCCATCCGTTGCTTCTTGTCCTGCCTTCAGGCGCTTTGGAGAATAGCTTGACTCCCTCTTCTTTGTGGCAGCCCCTGAGATATTGGAACACTGCTATCATGTCCCCCCTCGTCCTTCTCTTTGTTAAACTAGACATACCTAATTCCAGCAACCGTTCCTTGTATGTTTTAGCCTCCAGTCCCCTAATCATCTTGGTTGCTCTTCTCTGTACTCTTTCTAAGTTTCTACTTTAATAAAGCTGGTGCAATATTTATGCTAACGCAGCACCCAAGCAAATGGCATCCCTGGAACCACAAAATTAAGTTTCTAAAAATATATTGGTCTTGTGTCAGTTAAAAAGTTGGAAATTACTGACACCTGAAAATGAAATTATGCATAAAGGAAGGATGCTAGGCCTCCTGTTGTTTAACCCTGATCCAAAATGTGAAATAATGGATCAAAAGGTTGGGGGAAGCAGGGGTTGGTCAATTGTAGAGAAAAATGCAGTGGGGAGATTGTTTTTTTCTGCTCTTTAGCAAAAAGGTATTTTTCTGTCTGTAACCTTTCCACTCTCCTCCCCACAGACTCCTGTGCTGCCACCCACAATAACAGATCAGATCCGGCTGTGGGAGCTGGAACGGGACAGACTGCGCTTTTCTGAGGGTGAGCATCTCCGAGAGATGGGACGGGGTCGGGAGAGGAAGCGATAACCATGAGGAGAATCTAATACAGAGGTCCCCGACCTTTTGGGCACCAAAGACCGGTTCCGTGGAGAGAGGTTTTTCTGCAGACCAGAGGGGGTGTGGTTTTGTGTGCTGCCTGCATCTCGCAGATGAGGCTTTGCTTGTTTGTGTGGACTGGTTGCTGGCATACCACGGACCGGGACCAGTCCA